GTCATGGCAGGTCCCAACCTAATGTGCCAAAAAGATGCTATCCGGAGGGTGAGGCAAAACATCTAATTTTGCTTCATATTTGCATACATGCACTAGGCATACATATCTGGCTGGTGACTATATGAGCTGACTCTTGGCATCTTCTTAAAACATTATCATTCAAGCATTGAGGCTGGGTTCACAGGTGCAGCAGGTCAGAGCAGGTCACAGCCTAATTGCTTTGAAAGTGTCTAATTTCCAAATGCAATCCCTCTTGGCATTTACTTGACCACTTTCAGATCCTGCAAGTGCTTCTATTCTGTAGATTTCTAAACCCCTATGCAACATATCTCAATCTAGTACTGGTCTGCTTCTCTCTTCCTATCTGGTAGGTGTTCTTAGAGCACTTCTACTAATGAAGTATCACTACAGTAGAAGTGTTACCACCTTTTTGCCTCAGACAATATTCACAACCACCCTCCTCACTGAAGCGCAAGAAAAGCTCTGAACTTCAATGTGAGAGGATCAGTCTCAATTCCATCCTCTTCTGAAAGGCCTTTTCATGTCCCTAGCGTTCAGAGGTGAAGACCATAGACTGCTATGCAATAGCAATAGACTGCTTTGATGATTTGAATAATAAACTACAGTGAATAACCACAAGTTCATTACATCAGAGAGAGGGAACGAACAATTTTACAGACTCTTGGGTTGGGTGTTCCCATGGCCGGGAAAGCATCTCACCTGCTGTAGTTCTTGACTGCTTAACTATGTTGCATGGAGGTTTTACCTCTGGGAGGGGTATACTGCTTTTTGCCACAGACTGTCTCAGAACATCTAATACTCATGTGGTTTAATGGTTATCCAGGAGGCAAGAAATGCTCCATCCAGTTCATAAAGGCAAAGGAAAGGAATTAAACTTCACATCCTTCTCTCCTCTGGCGCTGTTTTTGATACCCCCTTATTATTGAGGAAAGTTCACAATGGCCATAATCTGTGTGAATTGAGCATTGTACAGGCAAGTAGGGATGGAAGAGAGTTCAGAGTAGTGAATTCTGATTAAAAAAACCTCCAGTTGCCTGCATTTTGAAGATTGGGAAGAGGTAGAATTTCAGATAATATTTCCTCTGGTTTATTTATGCCCACATTGGCTTTTTTGGATCCGGCTAGTAAGGATTTAGGCCTCTGCATATTGCGAAAGGAGGATAGGATTCTTCCTTTTCAGGCAGTGGAGTTGATTAAGACATCTAAAAGAGTAAAGCCACAGTATAACACTGAAAATCCCATCCTGAGGGAGCAGGCTTCTAGGAGTTTAATTCCCATTGATTCACATCAGTCTAGGTGCTTTTTAGAAGTTAAGTCTGCGGCCTTAGGTCTCTCCAGGGCAGTGACCAGCTATTTCACCTGGCTGCAGAGCAATATCTGTTCCTAGAGTTTATAGTAATAGTGAATGCCACGGAAATCAGCAACTTACTGTCAATTTAAATATATGAAGTATATACCATCTGGTCTTGAAGCATTTGTTTCTCCTGTCTTTCCCCTCTGCATGTACTGTTATGCTTCATCTGAGAGCAAAAGATTCATCACTATCTCCCTCCACTGGTAAATTTTGGTAATTTCTTTTCCAGAAAGAAAGATATTCAGACATACTACCCACTATTTTATAAAGTTTTTTCCATTAGAGGGAAGAGAGTAGAGTGAGGGATTGACAATTTTAAAAGTCAAATACGCATTAGAACATGCATTCATTTCTGAAAAACAATTCTCATTTATTATGTAATTATTTATTTCTATATAATAGAATTACAGGGTTGAGCCAGAGGCTGAACAGTAAGCTCAGGAAATCTCTATTCTAGCCTCCTGCTCACAGCAGGGCCAGATGTATGCTCAGATCCGGATGCTCAGGACTGTGTCCACTCAGGTGTGGCAAATGCCTGAGGGGTCTCATTGTCCTCAGCATGAAAGAGCTTTTCCTTACATCCAGCCTGAACATTTCAACTTGTGCCCCTTTGTCCCTCAGCCTCCCACCATGCAGCACAGTTAAGACCCTGGATGCCTCTTCTCAGTCATGTGCTCACAGGTGCTGATCCCTTCCCCAGGCTGAATCAGCCCTATTTCTCCACCTCCTTGCATAGGAAGAATCCTCTGTTCCCAACACCTTCGAGGCTCCTACTGAGCTTGTTCCAGTCTGTCCATGTCTTTCCCACAGAGGTCCCAGCTGAAGACAGCACCTACATGTGGTCTGACAAGTGCTGAGCTAAAATATCATGTAATCTAATGTCTGTGCTTCTATTAATATAACAAAATATCAAACCTGAGAAAGATCTCATTGTCTTTCTTCCATGCTCACATAAGTGGCTAAATTTCTCTCTTTCCAACATTTAGATGAAGGAAACTTCAGTAGCTAGCTGATGGTCATAGGGGAGTCACCTCTCCCCAGCTCTGCCCATGGGGAGAAGAACTGATATGGCAGCCCTGGCCCTTTACAGGGTGTGAAGCCCTTTCCTTTAAGGGTGTGAAGAGGGGATGGGCCAGAGCAGACACATTCACTTAAGCGTATGTCTTTTGCTGAAAAACATGGAAAATATGAATGTAGCTCAGCTGAGAACACAGATCGCACAAGTCAAGGTCAGGATTTGCTGTGGTTTCACTGTTTCCCGGTAGAAGTTGCAAGAATTTCCATGCTTTTCTGATCTGAATTTCATTTGGAAAGTATGTAAATGGCTATTTTCATTGCTCGTACAGGCTTAGTCAGAAACTCATGCTGAGGAAGACGGGCATTTTCCAGAATTTTCACCAATAATAAAGCCATCATAGTTCACTCAAGAGATTCTAAAAAAGAGGTTTGACAGCATAGCTGTGGAACAGCTTTGTGTGGCAGAGCTACTGGTTGTGACAACTCAGCATGCGTTACTGGCAAGCCTGCACGAGGTAGCAAAAGCTATACTATTGGACTCCAAAACATCCTTGTTACTAGCTGTGAATTTTATTGTATATTTTGTTTCGACACCCTATTATCCTCATGACTTGCTGTGATTTAGTCAGCAACATGGTAATCTAGATAATAATAAATTGCCAAGAATAAGATATTTCAAATGGTAAAGTAGTTGCTAAAAGATGATAATTATTAAGTGTTCAAGAGTATGCAGTTTTGGCAAATAGATTCAAAGACTGTGCTCAGGTAGAGTTTGTAACTAATTTCAGGGATTAAAATTATGTGTTTAACATATGTGTATGTATGCATATTGAAATACAGAGAATAAAATTTGAGGGATAATTTATTCAGAAATCTAATTTGACAAAAAAAATTTTCAGAACCACCTCTGAGAATTGCAGGTCTTGGTCATCGTCACTGTCAATGAGACTGAAGTGTTACTCCCGCTAGTTACTCTAGCAGAAAGTCATCATTCATGAGATACTCAAACATCATCACATCTCAAAATCTAGATGTGCAAAAGCGGAGAGAGAAGAGAAAGAAACCCCTATTGGAAGCAGAGCAAAAGCAAGTAATTTTGGTGCCTGTGGTGGAGTATAAAGTAGGTTTTCCTCCTACCCCAACCATCAGCAGGCAGCAAACAGCACACGCAAGGCAGCATCAACAAAACTGAAGAATCAGATAAGTTTGGAGAGGGGATCTGATTATCTGAAACACATGGGGAATCAAACTTTTCAGATTTCTTTTTGTCAGAAGATGACTGAAAACTTCATTCACTGCTCCTTAGTATTTGTTTCCTTGTGGCAAAGGAACAGATCTGTCTCCTGCTTTCTCCGTATTGTAATTCTCTATCAGGTGATCAAAGATGGTCCCTCTGGGGACACAACACTACAGTGTTCTCAAATCAGGCCAATAAATAACAGGCAAGACAGAGCCCTGTAACTATTTTTTTATGGGTCCATTGCTCTGGGCTGAATATTAAGCCTGTAGTGAACTAGTTGCTGGATTTCTTACTATCCCTTTTTAATGTCCTCAGTCTGATGATGTTACTGCTGCCTCTTTCTGTGATAGATCGAAGTCCTAGAAAGAGAAATAAGCCAAATCTAAAGGACACCATATTTAAAATTCTTGTGATATGAGGATCTATCTCCTAGTCTTTCACTGTAGAGTCATACTGTTCAGAAGCCTCAACATACAAAAATTACATTATTTTACAGGTGAAGATTAACTGAATTTGATTGAATTCATAGATTGAATCCAGGAAGAAGCCAGTACATTAAAACAAAAAAAAAAATGGACGACACATTAATTAAACAACAAGCCCCCATGTATTGCTCACCCTTAAAAAAAGATTATTTTTACTCTTATTATTTACCATTAAAAATGGTAAATGTTACATTTTAAACAAATAATAATACAAAACCCTATATTTATATTAACAATCTGAAGAATTATGTGAGAAAATGCTTGTTCTAAGTAGAAAACATTTACTAGTAAAATGTTTCTTTCATATGTTGCAGAAAGAAAAGGTATAGCTGTCTGAAAGGCAAAAGGCAAAGTGACATTTTCAAGGGACAAGGTACATACAAAATTCAAGCTGGGACCAATATTTCCTAGTGTTATTGTTTTCCTCTCTGTACATTTCCTATGATATGAATTTCTTCTTAATAATATCCTCTAGCAAAATTTCATACGAAGCAACCTAAATTTGATAAAAGTAAAAAATATATTATTCTTAAACAAGAATACAAGGAATTCTTGGCAAGAACACTTGCTCTCTAACTTTTAAATGAACGTACCTGATCATTTGATACGAGGTAATCTGGGGACATGTACTTCTGTGATAACCTTTAATGACACATAATAGAGATTACATATGTAACCAGACAACACTAATGGTACGTTTTTTTAACTATGTAAAACTTGTTAAATGGGCAAGTGCTCAGTCCATGTGGTTCATTTCTATCTGTATTCCAATCTCTTTTTTCTCCATCACTTCAGTTCCTAAATATTGCTGAATTTTATTGGTTCTGGGCTGAGATCCTGTCTAATGTGTCTGAGTACATTTCAGCACAGTAGGACTCCAACCTTTCAAAAAAGTACATTATACTTTATTCAATATACAGTTTATAGTTTATGTGACAGATGATACGTTAACAGAAATACATTCTAAAGGGGTTTTTTTCCAAAGAAGCAGAGAAAATGAGAAGAGAGTCTGAACAAAATCCCATTCTAAACAAGCAGTGAAAGGTCTGTCCAAGTCCTGCCATGAGCGGCTCTGAAACACATTATAGCACATAATGTTCTCTATGACAGGATCCCACAGACATATGAGAGAGCAAATATTTATTTCACAAATTTGGACTCTGTGGTGGAACATAAACATTTTGTATGTAGCCTGTAGCTTGTTATCACAGATCCAATGTTACATTTCTCAGAAATCAATAACCTAGAGTGCACTTTGTACTGAGATCCAGGGTAGGCAAGGAATAATAAGGCTTTGTTTTTCGACAATAATCCAGATGCAAGTATAGGTGTATCCCCCAGGAGCCTGGTAGAGAGTCCTGAGTACCTTGACTGCAGGCCAAGCCTGTCGGTATTGTACTGTTTATGGTCTGTTCCTTACATTCACAGCCAGGCCTGGAATCTGCTCTGTCTGGACGGTCCAAGAGAGCTGGGTGTTCTTGGCCAAGGAGCGGGTGTTTTTCCACAGCTGGGACAGGAAGGACTCAAGTGGGTACTCATGAACAGAGAAGAATTGGACAGGTTTCTGCTGCTGGGAGGAGGTAACTCCTGGTCAGTGGTAAGCTGTCAACAGAGGAAGAGACATACACACGTGTTTTTCATGGAAGAAAAGACAGGAACTTTGGTAAGGACCACACTCATTTCTCCACTGAAAAGTCTGTGAGACACCACCTGGAGGTCTCAACTGGCAAACATGAGGGATTTGTTGTCTCGCATGTTTCCAGAGATATTTCTACACTGGGAGAGAATGCCAAATGCTATCTCTAAAAACATTTGAGATTCACTGGAGTGAATTTCATCTAATACCATATTACCACTAATTAATTTACTCAGTTTTTTTCCAGTAATTACAGGCACTGCTTCTCCACTCACAGGACACCTTTTGAAACATCCCTTTGCAGTGTTGGGTAACTGAAAGCCATTCAGTCTCTGACCACAAGAACTATCTATTTTATAAGCTGAAAAAAAATACCCCTCGGTATCACAAAAATCCTATCCAACCCACTCTAAACCCAAGTGTATATTGGACTTTTCAAAAACGTATGGCATGAATTGTATAAACCGACTACCAAAAAAATGACATTTTTTGTGTTAAATTATTGCACAGGAATAGCTACAAATGGCTTTTTGAGTTACTATACAACATAACAGAAGAACTATTTGTGATTTTGTTTTCCACAGATCAAGTTCCTCTAACCTCTTCTGAAGCAGCCATGAACAAATTTTACAGTTTTTCATGGTTTGCTGCAGCTCACCAGATCACTATCTCTGGTTCAGTCCTATTTGTTAGATGTTCTAATTTTTGGCTGCAGTGGTGGTACCTACTGCACAAATTAGGGCAAATTTATGAGCTTCTCTAACCTACGATCTCCAATCCATGATACTAAACATTTCTATTACCTAGACTTGGCCAGGAACAACCCACCCTTTCTCAGTTGCATGCCATGAACCTCAGGAGAGGTAAAATAAGGCACTAAAAAACCAGTTGTACTAACTTTATAATGCATGTGGGAAAACACCAGAGGGAATATTTGAAGGAAATTGAAGGGTGTTGGTGTTTATGCAGGCATCCAGAGAGGCATTGACTTCACTTCAGGACAAGAACCTGGCTCTCTATTACCTTGATTGTGCGCAAAGTCCAAAGAAGGAATTAATGAAACTCCTATCCATTGCTAACGCCTCTAGGGCCCTTTGGATTAACAGAGTAAAAAGAATCCCATGTTGTACCTTGATGAGAGAAATGGCACAATGAGATAAAATCTATTAGACAACAGTATTAAAACTTGGATTAATGCCCATTAATATAAGGATGAGTCAGGACCTGGCTCCTTAAGGCTCCCAGTGATAAAGGGAGGTAGTAAGCTCATAAGAGCATCCAACATTATCTGAGATTTGAGTAACCTTTTGGATGCCCTCTTCCTATTGACTATAGTAGCAATCTGACGGGCTTCTGCAGCTCTTCAGTGTTCACTCTCATCTTTACCACCTTAAATAACTTGTTATTATCAGGAAATTTTGGTACTTCACTTCCCAGCCATTTTCCAGAGTATTTCTGGAGATGCTGAGCACAGATGGATGGTGGCAGAATACCATGGATGACATCTTCTGTTGTGAAAAGCTGGCACAGCTCTTTGAGTATTATAGTCCTTTTTGACCTCTAGAGACACTGAAGCTAAGTATAGAACTGTGGGTCATACCAGCAGTTATACCACTCTGCCAAGAAATAACCATTGATAATGTCTTAAAAATGTGTGTCTCTCTTCATGCCCCTGGATAGGTGGAGTGAGAGAATGATAGGGATTTACAAAGCCATGAAAGGTACAATAGATATAAATAAGAAATTATATTTAGAGTCTTTAGGTTGCTTTTTAAAGGTTGCACGTGTCAGTAAACATTGTGAAACTGAAACAGAATTGTTGTTTCTAAATATATACAAAGGTATAAGAAATTTTTCAAAAATCGTTATTGTTTTTCCTTCCCAGTGGTTTTAAGCACCTAGTCTGGGACAAGAAACACGTGCCTGTCAGAAGTCCAGAGCATAAAAATTTTCTTCAAGGAAATTAAATAAGTGCTCAGTTACTCATGTCATTAGCACATCAGTAGGAAGATCACCTAAAACTGTCTAATGGAACTTCAGGAAGTCAAAATCATGAGATAATTTTCTAGCTGTTTTTAATCATTGTTTTTGTTGTTGTTGTTAATTGTGGGTGCAGCAGATTATCTGTCTTGAAGAGGATTAGAATTTACCTTTTAAATACACTCCTGAGACATAGTATAAGATACTATAAATGTTTCTTGTATAGTTTTAAGGTTGTTCTTTTCAAAACTTCTATGACTTCTACAGATGTGATCATAAATTAATTTCAATGAGGTTAAATGAAGTGTATTTTCACATACCTTAAAATAAATTGCAATTCTTGTGATTAAAGGGAAAACTTATTTAGATGAAGAGAGTGGTTAAAGCTCTAATTTAATATAGGTTTAAACCAATTTAAAGATCACAGACCATCTGGATAAGCTCAGATGCAGAGAGAACATCTTGAATCAGTCTGCATCCAGGTGCACAAATCCAAGAAACTTAAGGATGTAATGAGTGATTCAGGCTGAATGCTAGTCAGAGGCTGTCAGATATCTAGTTCTCTCTTTTCTCCATCTCTCAGCTTCCAGCCTAGAGCCTTAGCTGGCAATTCAACCTGTGTGCTGCTGTTCTGCTTACAGTAAGCCAGTCATCCAATACTACATTGTGATATATGGTAAGAGAAACCATCCTGCAGATAATGAAGATTATTTATTCCTCAGCAGTGTGCGTATGTGTATGTACGTAGTGAAAAACAGAGTGTAAGTGATATGAAGAAAGAGGAAAAGACAAAGAGAGAGAGCATGAAAAGATAGCATTGGCTATTGATTAATATTTACTATGAGAACAGCCCCTCGACAGAGAAACTATTTTCCCCATCAGACTGCTTTCACATTTTTTTCCAAACTGCAACCTGAAGAAAATAGGAAAAAAAAACACCCTCTATTTTTCCAGATCTCATACCAGGATGCCAGTCTTTTCCTAGGTCATCATATCAGCCTTGCTGATTGTTCAGCCCACTGTGATCTGCGTAAGTTGTTTTAGCAGTTGTGTACCAATAGCAAACATTCACCTCTTACCTTCCTGTGTCACTGAGCTTCTCTCTTTGCCCAGGAACTCCTGGCCAGCTGCCACAGACAGTAGATTCACCGTCTTGACTCAGTCATATTTATTAACTCAGTCTAGATAAACACAGCTGATCAGCAGCAGCCAGTGGACCTTACTCAGCTATTTTTCCTGACAAACTCCATTGTCATGGGGTGCTCTGTGTTATTGACTTGGAGGGTCACTATCTCTGCAGAGCTCTGGAGAAGGATGCAGTGTCAGAAAGTGTGAAGTGTTAAAACACAGGTCTCCAAAACAAGCCCTGTGAGCCTTCACAACTCCTAGGAAACAACCTTTTTCCACATTGACTGAATTAACAGACAAGAGCTTAATTAATTCAGTGGTTCCAATGGAAAATCACATTTCTTGGCTTGCCCAAAGAAAGGAAAGGATGTGAGTTTAAAGAAGGAAAAATATTACAGCCAAAAGCGCATAATTATCTTCAAGGAGAGTGATTAATTGCATGAGAAATACATAGACTGAAAGACCATGTAAAAATACTTAGTAAACACCTAAAACTTATTCCCAACAAATTCCCTTGAACATAACTTTTGCCATATTTGTCAGTTTTGCTTTAGTCTTAAAGGTGCAAGAATGTCTTGTATTGAGGCCACAGTTACAGAAAGGATGAGTGCCAGTGACTGATATGGGTACTTGGGAGATCTGCTGCAGGTAATAGAGGTAATTACTGTTCTAATGATGCTTCTCATCTGCAGAGACTCTGGGGTGGGCGAAGGTACATTAAGCTCACATTTACCAAGAGAAAAATATTGAGAATCAGAGAGCCAAAACACTGAGCAAAATGATTACCTCCTGTTGTCTGGTCTGTTTGCTAACTCTCTGCCGCTGCACTGAGTTACTTGTCTTGCATTTTTCTTTCTAATGACACAGCTGGCTAGATGTTTTCCAGAATTGTCTGAGTGGGAATATTAAAGCTCTGCTAAATAAGTCCTGGAAGAGGAGTGCTGATTGATGGGTGCTGATTGGTGAGCTACAGATATCGCCAGAGACCTGTTGTGGGAGGAAGGAGAAAGAAGTCTTTTCAGTACTGACAGCTGTAGCATAAATCTTTATTAGTTTTATTGTGTTTAGTTAAAATAGCTCTCAGTTGGACTCTGTGTGGAAGTCAAGGCTACACATTGCCCCTGTTTTTCACCCTGAATAGGGATTTTGTTCATATGATCCTCTGATGTCATGAGCTCGATTTTACTTTTGATGCAATGCCCACTCGGTTTTTCCCTGACTGCCAGCAGTACAGAAACAGACACACGAGGCTGAGGGAGCCTGTGTGTCCGGTCACCTATCCACCAGGATACAGGACTGAAAACAGAAAAGGAAGATCAATAGAAAACAGTCCAAAAACCCAGTGGGAAAGAGCTGAATAAAGCTACAGAACTGGACAAAAGGGTCCCTCTTACCTTCGGACCTGCTGCCTCAGCTCTGGAGGTAATAACAAGCTGGCTTTGTTTTTGTGATCCAGCCTCTGGTTTGTGGGAGAAGGCTGGCAGCCAGAGGTTCTTGCCCCGTGCCGTCAGGGGAGCTGGGGAATGCTCACTCCAGGACAACCAGTGGGGAGATGGATTTAGGCATATAATGCACACCACAATTAGTCTTCCTTTTCCACTATTTTGTTGTTATTTGGGCAAGCATGAACCTTTCCAAGAAAGGGATGATACAGCAGAAACAATATGCAGTATTTTGCAAGGAACTGTTCCCTAACCTACTCACTTCTAATAATCACAATTCGGAAAAATCTTGCCAATTCTTTCACATGTGATAAAAATGTTGAAGAACACTACAATAATATTGAGTGGTAATATTTTATATTAGCTTCTGAAATGTTCATTAATTTGTCTCAGCTACTGCTATATATCTCCATAGGAGATGAGTTAAGAGACAGGTAAAAGTCAGCATTGACCAAAAAAGGTGCAAAAGAATAAAAAATGCCTGTGTTGAATTATTTATCTTTCCAGTAGGATTATTGTAAAACCACTTAACAGGATCAGTTACTACTAAGATGTCCCCATCATTTCCCATTTGAAGGTCTTATTTTCAGTTGTGTATAATGTTTCTGAATGCTTCATTTGGACAAAATTTTCCATGTCTAGTGTCTGCTTCAGGCTGCTTTGTTTGTGGAAAAAATCAGCCAAAATGATTCATCGGTTTCCAAGTAAGAGGTTATTTAAAAATACATTGTTTTTCACACAGTAAAAATATTCTGGTCCCCTTTCCCTGAAGGCACTGAAGTACTCCTCTCATTTGAAACCTGGAATCGGGCTTGGCAGGAAGGTCAAAAGGAGAGGGGTGCTTAGGCAGTACAGGTGGGCTTAGAGCACACTCTGATGTACAAGTAGTAAATCAGTGAGTCCAGTAGTCTCTCGTCACTGGGATTCTGCCAGCAGATGTCCAACAAATTTGTTGTTGGGTCATTCATCTTTTTCCTCTCTTCCATATCTGCCACTCTTGTGTAAATACTATGCAGCTGTCTGCAAGAACCAGGGAGCTTTGGGCTGTATGTTTGCAATGCTCCTTGGCTGACCAAAAATTGCAGATGCTCTTCTCCTCATCCAGGAGAAGCTGAATTGCAGGCATTTGGCTGCTGAATTGTCAACACCTGGGAAGAGTAGTCAGCATTTCCATGGGCAGCACCTAGTGGCTTCTCTCTGATTTTCTTGAGTTATTATTTTTAAAGACAAAATTGCAAAAAAATCCCCACTATTTTTGAAGAATATCTCTCAGGTTGCAAAGCAAAGCCTTTTTGTCATGTGCTGTGGTTTGTACAAGATCTCTGCCTCATCAGTTGTAGAGAGTAAATAGAGAGAAATAGTGAATCGTGCTAAGAACTGGCTGGCAGTTTTTAAGCAATACAACATCTACTGATTCAGCACAGGAAAAGGTCCATTTTTATGTGTCTGATCTCTGCACAGGGGGAGTACGGAGGTGTGGTGCTGGTGGGGAACCCAACAATCTGTCAAAGAAATGGGGCACTGCCAGGAGAGTGCTGGTCTGTGTGCTTGTGCTGCCATGTCCTATGCTGCATCAGCGCATCTTGTCCTGGCTTCTCATTCAGCTCCATTTCTAAATATTTTCTTCTGCATGTGTTTATGTGGGGAAGTCTAAGTTTCAGCAGCTGGAGCAGGACCACAGGTCACAGGGCCATGTGTCCAGGTACCAGCATCTGGAGCAGGAGGGGGTGTGGGTGTCTGTGTACAACCATCCGCCAATATCACACTGGGCTAGCTGGTGAGAAGGACAAGGGACCTGCTTGGAAGTTGAGGGGAGTGTCTGTGTGTGTGTGCATGTGTCTACTTGAACACCAGCAAATGGAGCAGGGTGGTGGGATTTCGTGGCTTGTAAGTCCAGGGGACAGCTATCAGAGGGATTCACGTTATGCATAGGCATATATTTCCCTCTGATGGACCTTCATCATGAACTGGTTGAGAAGGCAATGGAGTTAGGCTGTTTATGCTGTCTGTTCATGTGTGTCACTGTTGGTGTTGCTTTTGAGGTCAGCCACATGCATATGTATATTTGCATATATGCATACATCACGTTTGTGCACGCGTGCCAGATGGGGACACACATTCAGTCTTGCCACTGGCTAGAAGTGGTAACATGCAGCAGCAGCAGCAGCATCTTCACCTGTTTTGGGACGTCACATTCAGCAAACCCAAATAGTTATGGTATTTCTAAATGTAGAGTAAATACCCTATGTGCTGATGGGAGAATAAAATGGACGCATAAAATAGGCAGATAAAACCGATAAAAGTATTTTAATAGTTCCCATTAGGTGAGAACTGAAATATGACAGTATTTGAATCCTTACCCCTCCCACAGCCTATCATTTTTTTTAACATTGGTGTATGTTTGGGGCACTACTGGTTGCCAGGGAAGCAAGACCAGGACAGCTGAAGCACTCGAGTTATTCTCCCTTAATGCCACAAGATGGCAGGACCTTAATTTTAAATCTTTCACATTTCTGTTTTATTTATTATTAGTGCCTTTTTTTTAATTTCTTTTCCTTTTTTGGGCTGCCTGACACTCTCAGATACTGCTATTTGTTAACCTTAGAAAATGAATATAAATTTTGTTTTTTTAATGATGAGGTTTTGTCTGCCTAGCAGTTTCGCTTTAGCTCTGGAGTGGATTAAACACTTCAAAAAAATTACACTGCTTTACCAGTATAACTTGGTGTAGATAAGTGCACCTTTCTGGTTCCATTTTGGTACCATTTATTTAATTTTCCTTCTTCGAGTAGACTGGCCACTGCAAATATCTTTATTCAGGTATAAATTACAGATGTAATAGTTTACACATAAAATGCCTCAAATTTTGTGCCTGAACAAGACCTTAGTAAAATGACTTATTTGAAGAAGGCAGATGTTGAGGTGTTGTTGGTGTTGCTTTTGCTGTCGTAAAGGGTTTTTTTGAAGTGCACTAATATTGCCTGATTTCAGCTCTTCCCCTCTGACCTCTGCAACTGCACATGATAATACAACAGTAGGCAGTAAACCAGATGGGGATGGAAGATGGGGTTTTAATGCATGAGTGTACATTAAGGCCTCCCACCTTCCTGTCCTTCATTACTGGTGAGCTCTCCCCCTTGCCTGGCTGAGCAAACAGCAGGGGGTAAGGCTGGCATAAAAGACTGTTTAACATCATCCTGTCTAGTGCCTTGTCAGAAGGCAGAATTTCTTCCATGTTATGAAGTGTCCTTCTTATTGAAAAGCTTAGAACTGATGCCACATGCAAATCTCTCAGAGGGCAGCAGAGAGTGCTATTCAATAATCAGTTATTTTTTCAGTCTGGTTCTCTCTTTTTCAAGTTTTAAAGCAAAATTGAAGAGGAAAGCATGAAAGGGGGGGAAAGAAGTATTTTACTCCTTCTGCTAATAGGAAAGAGCCCTCTGTCCCCTGCAAATTAAGTGGTGTACCAAATACAAGCTGGTGTGGGACCCTAAAAATAGACATGAAGAGCCTTACACCTCATTGTGAGTTCTTTTCTCCTGCCCAGGTATCTCAGATGTACATTGCTTCAAGGCTAGTGGCTGGGCAGATGAGGGTTAGTGACACATAGCACAGCATGGGGAAGGTGACAATCACCTGCTACCAATTCCAGAATTCAACACACTAAAATTCCTCCTCTGCTGTTGCTAACTCTACAGG